CTCCCCGAGGAGGGAGGTTCTGGCGGCGGCACACGGCGATGCGGTTCCCCGGCAGGACGCCCCCGGCCCGCTTCTTCTTCGCCCTTTGCCTCTGGAGGCTGGTGCCGGGCCGGGACGCCTCAGGTAGCGGGGGCTGAGGGAAGGGGAGCGGTGTCCGTGCGTGGGTGGCTGTTAGAGCAATACCATGCTCTGTGGGGAGCTCCCCAGCAAGCCCTAGTACTGATTTTTTTAAAGAAAAAAAGTAATTTTTTTTTGTGCTGAAAGCAACGAGATTCCCCGTTGAAAACAAGCAGGGCGGACGCTGAGGGGGCTGGTGGAAGGGGGGACTCCTGCAGACCCTGGAGTTGGCTGTAGGTGCCATTTGGCAAGGGAAGGGAAAAACAGGAAAAGGGGATATCGACACTTGTGTCGTCTTTCTCAACGGCTACCGATACTGGAATGGGTTTTGCCTCCTTTTTCGGTACCGTGCTCTCCCCTGAGTGGCACAAGGATGGGCAAGTGGCCAGCAAAACGTTGGGACGTTGCTGCAAGCCCGTGTCGTTAGTGCTCTAACACCGCTCTCTTGGGCTCCTTCAGGCCGCTTGTTTGTTGCCCTCCTCTCTTAGGCAGAACTATCCTGTCCTTGCTTTCCCATTGAGCCTTTTAAGCTGTGTCCCTCTTCCTGATCGCGTGTCTGCACTAAGCGTTGTTAGCTGCTAAATGCGTCTCGGAGGTCCTTTGACAAGAGCCCCCCTAACAAGCACCCCAGAGAGTTGATTTATATCCAAAGTCCAGGTCTTTGCTGACGGAAGGGGGCTTTGCCTGTTCCCTAGATCCCTAACGCTGTCCCTTCTCTTTTGCAGGAACAGAGGAAGTAGTCTTTGGGAAGGTTGGAGGAAGCATCCTCCTTTTATGCCGAAATGTCTCCAAAGAAGCAACCGAGGTGGTCTGGTTTCAAGGGGATCCGAAAAAAAAAGATCCGCTCTCTTTCCCCCCACTCTTCTCCTCAAGGGTCACTTTCCCCCCGGACGTCCGTTTCTCCCTGGTTGACAACAGCTCTCTGCGCATCACGGAGCTGCGTGTGCAGGACGAAGGCAACTACACTTGCAAGGAAGTGCTGAACAAGACGGACCACGAGCACAGGGTGCAGCTCGTGGTAGCCAGTAAGTCTGTCCCGCCTCTGTGCGTTTCCTCCCCTGAGTCTCGCAGGTCCCCAGGTTCATCTGGCCCTGGTGGAAAAAATAGTGTAAAAAAGGGCAAGGCGGCCTTATTGTGCAAAATCTGTGAGCAGGCTGATGCTACTCGATTACACCTTCGCTCACAAGCAGAGTGATGCGTGTCCAAATGGTCTGGCAAGGATCAGCTGTGTGTGATGCAGAGGATGGGATGCCAACTGTTAAGTCCTCGTTATGTCACTTCCTTCTTCATTGGTGATGATCAACTACTTTTTGAACAGGTTTTTCATATCCTGTAGCTGTTCCAGAGCGGCCCATTGCCTCAGAATCTGGCTGACTTGAGCCTTGATAAGTCTTGGGGCGCGGGCTGCTGCTCACTGTCTTTTTTCCCTTGACTGAAATACGTTTGAAATAGACGTGCTGTGCCATTCCTTGTTGCCGTCCTTTTGGTGTGAGGATGGAGGGTCCTCAGCTGACGACTTGTCTGTGCTGTGTCTTAGTGCAGCCTTCTGATTCTGATGGAAACACCACGATCCTCAAATTTACTGCTGGGAGCGCTGTCGTGGGAGCGTGCCTGTTGTTATCAGCACAGGCCATTCTTTCAGCCTTTTTTTCCTGTTCTGTGTTTTGGTGCTCGCTCCCATTTCCATCCCGATTTCATTTGTTCGTTCTCTTAGAAATCTTCACAGCACGGGTGGAAGATCAGGCTGGAGCGCGCTCAAGGCGATGACTTTGCATGCTGCTGGCGCGGGTCCTTCCTGCTTCTGCTGGGGAATCGTCGTCTTGCCCAGATGTCCCATCTTTTCTGTGGGAACAACCCCTCCGGCTTAGCAGGGAGCACAGGTTCTGTGGCTGGTACCACTCTTGGCCCCCTCACCAACTCTGATCAGATGCGACGTGGGCTCTGGCCCCTCAGACCTGGGCTGTGACCTGCTGTCCCTTACGCCAGCCAAGCCCATATGATAGAGTTGAGAAGAAGGAAAGACTGCTGCCAGTTTGCCTTTTTTGGTGACGTTCTGTGCTCTGTTGGCCCCTTGCTTTCTTGCTGGTCTTTCCGTCAGCACCTGCCGTGCGTGAGACCTGTTTTCTGTTTGCGTTCAGGGTGTTCCTTCCTTCTCGGTGTTTGGTGAAGGGTGTGTGTTGTAAAAGTTGTACCTGTTTTGTACAGATTAAACCTCTCTAAGTTCACACAAGTAAAAATTCCCTTCCTGGGGCAAGGAACCTGTAGATGGGGTTTGGAGGGTCATGGAGGGCTGGGGTGAAGGAACTGAACCCCAGGCTGCTTCAGAGAATATATATGTAGGCGTTCAGAGAATATATACATAGGCGTGGGGCTTAGGAGGGGGGAGCCCTAAATCTGGAGCATTAGTGCAAAACACTCATGAGGAAGAGATATCTAGGGCATGCCAAGCGTTGGTACTGCACTCTGAACTTCATTTATTGGCGTGGAATTAACGTGTCAATTAATTTCCAAAGGTTACAAAGGTGATATGGGAGAGTGGTGTGCCCTTAAATAGGTGAGAGAGGTATTTCTGCTGGAGCAGAAGCAGCATCAGCAAAGGTCAGAAGCTGAAGCTTCTCAACCTCAGACTAGAAGCATGGGCCCTGATTTTTCACGATCACTGGAACAGCTGTTGTTAACTAAGAACTAACTGGAGTTACTGGAGCGACTTAGCCTGGGCTGGAGTGAACCTCTCAGGCACAGACTTGACAGCGCTGTAAAAGAGCCACCCAGGATCTGTAGCCATCATGGGGGAGTTACCAGCTGATAGTCTTCAACCCATCTCATGGGTTGTACCAAAAAGTTCTCTTTCTGCTTAAAACTGCATTTTAAAAACCACAAGCAGTAGAGGAAATGTTCTAGCAGCACGGCACAGGTGCAGCCCTGCCTTGAGCTGCTGTTCTGTGTTTGTTTTGGATGGGAAGCGCATGGTGTGAAGGAAACGTGCAATTGCACGCCTCCAAGGGATTCCTTGGTATGTTTGTGTGCAATTTGATATAAGCCGCTGTTGGCTTTTCTGGGGGCATGAGGTCCTTTTTGCTGGTGTTTCGTGAGGTTTTTTTCTTTTGGTTGCAGAAAGGTTTTTGGGTTTTTAACATTTTGGGAACAGATCTCCCGTTAGCATTTAGACAGAAGAGCAGAGTTGTACTGGGAAGCCCTGGGCGTTCAGGTTATAAAGCTGATGGCTTCAGGGGGCAGGTTCCTGGAACCAGCACGAAGAGTACAGCTCTCTGGCTGGGCGTCTGGAAAGGCTGCGTCCGCCTCTCGACGCGGGGCAGTTTCTGGTGATTCAGGCTGACAGGTTGCTTTTATTAACCACAGCCAGGATTCGGAATCAGTTACGAGACCTCCCCAGAGCTGGGACAGAGGAGGTGTTGTAGAGAACTTTCTTGCCAGAGCTGGATGGTTTCAAAGATCATACGAGATGTGTGTGTATATAGTTCCTGGAAAGCCAAGCCCCAAGAAGGTATGTTCTTGTAGCTCACGTGGGGTTTTGCCATGATGTTTTTTTTTTTTTAAACTCATGTCATTTGAAAATCATTTGAATAAATGCTCTGCAAAATAAACATCAGGCATCCCTCTGACGCCTCTTGTGTGGGGCTTGCTTTGGCAGTATCCGATCTCTCGATGGGGTCTTGTTCAGTGTTGGGTTAGGCAAGCCAGCCACAGGGGCACAGTGTGTTAATTCTGCCTGGATCAGAGTCCAGAATCCCTATGGCTGTTAAATGAACACGTGTGTGCATCTGTGCATGGGGGTGCGTGTGTGAAACCAGCTGATGGGAGAGAGGCAGGGACTCCACTGCACGAAATGTGAGCCTCGCTCACATGCCCGAAGGGATTGCTCCTGGGTTTCTGTTGGCTTCTGACCTGCTCCTGCCATCCTATAGTTGTTTCTGTATTTAAATAACAAACATAGTCGTGGTGGTTACGAAGTGGCCCTGGCAGGAGGCCAGCCGTGACTTACCCTACCTCTGTTCTTTGCTGGAGTTTGTCCCCACTGCTTCAGCGTGGTGTGGACACAGAGCGTGGTGCACGGCTGCGTAACACCGTTTGGCCCCACACAGCAGTGGCAGCGGTGCCGGGAAGGAGCGGAGCACGCCTGGTTTGGCTTCAGTGGCACATATCCATGGCCCTGACCCTGCAAGCTGGCGTCACCAGGATTCCCTGTGGGCAAAGCATCTTGTCTGATAGGAAGAGGCTTCTCCTTCGAAAACGTGCTGGGCTTGCTGGGGAAGCGCTCCGGCTTTGAGCCAGTGGCTCTGAGAAGCTGGTTACTTGTCCCTGGTCGAGAGCCCTGATGCTTTCCGTGTTCCCTTGGGAAGTCCGAGTGCTTGTACCAGTGACAGGGAGAGGCAGAGCCTTGTTCTCAAGTAGTGCAAATCGATTTCACCCCCTTGTAGCTGTGGCATGAGGACCAAGGGCAGCGTGGAGATTTTGTTCTCCCGCTGCGTTTTTAGATGCTTATCTCCATTGCATAAAGCTGTTTCCTCCGCGTGCGTTAGTCCCTCAAGGCTTGGCTGTGGTTGCTGTGATGGCTTTTGCAGGACAGCCTCCTGCTTGGTCCCTCTTGGCTGTCATTCAGAGTTGTGCTTCTCTGGGGCTGCGGGAAAACAGGCAGGGAAACCAGGAAGGCCTTCAAGGGGAGCGATGGCAACAACAAGCACTTGCAGGGGTTCCAGCCCTGAGATACCGAGAGCTGTGACATGGAAATGTTTCTAACCGTGTGCTGTTCTTGCTAATAGATCCACCGCACTCGACCCCAAAGTGCTGGGCTGAGACTTCTTCGTCGGGGCTGACGCTGCAGCTGTTTTGCAGCTGGCCTGGGGGGTACCCCCACCCCACCCTGCACTGGAGAGAAGAGGGGCACGATCTGGAGAACTCAAGCTGGGTCATCAGCTCCACGAGCTCCTCGGACACCCACGTGGAAACGCTGAACAGCTCCCACCTCTCCCACCGCAAAGCGTTCACGTGTGTTGGGAGCCATGTCGTCAAGCAGGAGGAGCCTGCGTGCACTGTGGAGATAAGTGAGTTGACTTGCCTACCTTATTAACTATTAATGAGCCTGCTAATGATGAGGCAGACAGGTACCCCGCTCATTCTCTGCCCTCCAGAGCTCTAAGGCAGTGGTCAGGCAAGCCCGGCTTGCGGGCGCTTGCCGCAGGGGGAGATGCTAACGAGGCAGCATGGCAGGGCTTGGCTTGTGCAGAGGTGACTGCACAAGGTGCAGAAGTCCTGCAGCTGAGATCCATCATGGCATAGTTGCAGGTGAGTTGTGTTTTGGGTACATCTTCAGGTCCTGACAAATCTCCCTGCACCAAGCTTTTCACCTGTGCAAGCGCTCGTGCCTGTGTGAAAGTGAGAGGTGGTTTTAGTGCCTTGTTCATCTTGAGGTTAAGTTTGGCAGGTCTGGGCTTGTAGCAGAAGGGTTGTTTGTGCCCCCAGCCCCGCTTCAAGCATCTAAGGGGTCTGACTAAAGTGGCTTTTGAAAACCTGAGCTGCATTTATCCTCTAAGGGTCGTCAGGACTACAGAAGAGCTCTGCTGATCCCAAGGAAAATTCCTGGGCTGCCTTTCTCCTCTCTGCCATCTTCCTACTGGCTACCCTCCGACCGTTCTTCCCTGGGGATACAAAGACAGGTGTCAAAAAAAGGGCTGAGCAACGTGGAAGTCGCTCGGATCACTCCGTGGAAGGCTGCTGAAGTCTCCTCAGTGAGCTGAATGCCAAACCACACTGCTCTAGTCCCAGACTCCTGTCTGACTTCCTTCTGTTAATGATTATTAATCAGTCAGATGGCTGATTGCTTGTTATGTTAAATGTCTCCATTCCCTCCGTGCCGCTTTTCACTTTCTTCCCCCCCCCCCTTGGGCTGTTCAGAAATCCCTTCACTGGAATCAGAGCCCCCAAAGACCTGCTTTGTGGGTGACAACGTGACCCTGATGTGCCGCGTGACCGAGAGCACCCCAGCAGCGAGGCTCACCTGGCTGCGGGGCATCGCCCAGCCAGAGGTGGAGATCCAGCCCGGAGGGAGGTACCTCGTCACCCAGGAGGGCAACGTGTCCCGGCTCACCATCCGCAACTGCTCCCAGGGCACCGATGGGGGCTGTTACGTCTGCAAGGCGCAGAACCCCGTGGGGCTGAGGGAGTTGTTCGTCTGCCTGACGGTGAAGCGTGAGTGGGGCTGCCTGGGGTTGCTGTGGCAGGGATTGAGGAGGAGGCAGGGGCACGGCTCACGGGGGCCGTTGGCGAGCCCCCGAGGGGCTCCATTTGCCACTAAGAGCCCTCTTTGCCTGTTGACATGTTCCACACCCTTGTGGCAAGCGTAAATGCAGGACTGGCTCCCTTCATGCCGGGGTGAAAAGGCCTGATTCCCCTCGCCTTGGCATAATAGGCCTGAGAGAGGAGCATCCTTGGTCTCTCTGTAGGTTGTGGGCACAGAGCAGCACCGCCAAGGCTCAAGCTGCTCAAGATGCAGTGGGCAGGGGTTGATTTGCTTTCGCTAAATGCGTGTGGGCACAAAAATAGGGGCCTTGCTGTGGTGTTTTCCATAGCAATGAGGTGTGAGTGCCTGAAACTCTCACCCCTTGTGCCGGTGGGACTGTTGCAATGATGGGAAATGGGGAGCTGAGACAGCACTGGGCGCTGCTCTGTTGCTTGCACTGACATTTCCTCATCCATCCGTGTCCCGGTGACAAGCTGGCCTCCTCTGTCTCCTCTCCACAGAGCCGGTGAACATCGTTGGAGTCGTGGGCGCAGTGGTGGTGCTGTCCCTGCTGGCTATTCTCACCGTCACCGGGGTTGTCTTGTACTACAATCCCCTCCTGTGCCTGAGAGGTAGGGGCTCTCCTCTGCACAAGCCGCGGAGGGGGTTACTCCTTCCTGGGGTGGCCTGGTTTTATCCCTAACCTGCTTGTCCCTTCGGGTGTGCCGTGACGATCACCCCAGCCCCTGGGCCTCATCCTGCTCCTGGTCAAAACTCTGTCAGCTCTGGAGACGGATGGGTTGGAAACACAAGGCCCTTCCCCAGCTGAGTGCTTCGGGCACCTTCCCCTTGCCTTCTCCGGGGCGCTGTGCCGCGATGGGCCTTCCCCCGTTCCTTGTGATCTCTCTGATGCTCTCGTTGCGCCCGTGGGCAGGTCACCTTCACGTCCGCGCCTCCGCGTGTGGCTGCCAGAGACCATCCGAGTGCTCCGGGGCTGATTTCTAACGCTGTCCTTTCCCTTCTCTCCCGTTCAGGTGCTGCATTCAGGTGAGTGTTGATTTTCCTCAGCCCAGTCCTGTGTGGCCTCGCTAGTCCGCCTCCTGGCAGAGGTGGTTTCCCTGTAGGGAGGGAATTGACCTCGGAGGCAGGAGCTGTCCCCAGAG